GACGTCGATGGTGACGGGGAGCTGCGAGTAGAAAGTGAAATCAAAATTTTACTCAAAAATTCCTTTGACGTGGCTGTCGCTGCCGTCAATGCCGACATTGATCCCCTGGCGCCTGAGCGGGAGACAAAAAAGTACCTTGCAGATAAGCTCGGGATCCAACGCGGAACTGGTCTGCGTCTGAACGTCTTCCAGGAGTTAGTAGCCGAGGCGCCCTGGCTGGCTGAATCCTTGCTGCCCTGTATACCGCATGACATAGAGAGTGCTGCTTTTCAAAGCATATTCTCTAAACCTAAACGTGATCTTCGGCGAGATAAGGAAGATCCAAGTACCACGAAGCTATCTGTCGCATGCTTATGTGCTGCTATTGCAAAAAGTTTGCACTAACAAGCTTACTTTTGTAATGCGTTTTCACTGATGACCATAAAACGTCACTTTCCATAAATGGTCTACCGTGTAGAGCATAACTGCGTTATTATTCATTTTCGGAGTGTTGTTTCTTCTTCCCCGTCAAGTGTTTACCGTTGGCTTAAACAAGGGACCGGGAGTGAGGATCCAAGCTTTGAAAGGGTTTCGGGGTTGCCTATTTACAGTCAGTCCAGATCCTACGCCTTGGAGAAACTTAGCGAGGGTTTCGAGACGGTTCCCTAGAAGAGGATTGGTTCCTGAAAGCCCGAGTCCAATCGTTGGGTGACAGAAGATAACACAAATTGTGAGCCTATTGAGACACAGCGGGATATATGTCACGGTGAAAGGTCATAGGCTAGAGGGGGGCCAATCAGCTCCTAGGAGGGTAAGGATTCCATATAAACAATACCACGGTAACAAAAAACCACGCTTGTGAACTACGGGACCGGTGGCAATAAGGAAAATAAAAAATAAAGTAGTAAATAATTGGTGCAGCCCACCTCAAGTGTGGACTTAGGGCCACGTCGCAAGTGATGATGCTGATACCTTTCCGGGTGACTTAAACTGTGGACGTCATATCTCTGACAAGTATTTCAACACAAAATGTATGTTGCTGTTTTCTAGTGAGGGACTGGAGCTATCAACGGTCACTTGTATAATCTTTTTAAGAAAAAAAGGACCGCGGCCTGTTTAGCACCATTTTAGTACACAAAAGGCAACATGACAGGAACGTTCGTTTACTACCAATGGGACCATTTTTTGAAAATGTCCATTTGTCATCAGTAAACTCCGGTGAAAACGTGATATAAAAGTGAGTTTTCGCTGTAAGTTCCCTGCTCTTCTTTACAACATCTGTAAAAAATGTGCGGTAACCTCCCAAATCGACGATTTTCGGCTTCGACGAAGGCTTGAATCACGACGGTCGTTCACTGGAACTTGAGCAGTTGAGGTAAATATACTCTGGAAGGCCACATTCTCTAGATCGTGTGGCATACACGGTAGGAGGGACTCTATCAGCCAGGGTTCCCGACGCACCAGTTTTTTGAAGGTTGAAAGGCCTATGCTAGCGTGCGCAATAATTTTTGTTTTTAGTTGGAAAAACCTCATTGTTTCTCGCACTGGCTCCTCTGGGTCAATTTCCGCGTTCGCAGCCGCGATTTTGGCATCGTAGGTATTCTTTAGCAGGGACCAGATCTCCGGATAGGTCCGAAGTCGTCCATCATCGTCGAGGTCCATTGCATAGAAAGCGAGCTCAGCACGCTCGTCCAGGTTGCCCCGGAGTAGTGTGGACAGCAGCTGAAGAAATTGGAGCGGTCCAACACCCTGTCTGTAGGGTCCTTTAGCCTCACTGCGTAGGAGTTGTGCTGCTCTAGCAAGACGAACCAGCGTGACCAGGTGCGTGATGTTAAACTGCACGTAGAGAAAATCCTGGACTTCGGCCAGCGTCAAAGAACGCAGCTGTCGCCTGGTCAACTGAAAGAAAATTTGCAGTATTATTGTCCTTTCTGTGGAGTTGAAGTGTATCCTCCTGTCCCTTCTAACCTTACTCACAAGTGTCATGATAGTAAGTCGGAAGATGGAGTCGAACTCAACACGCGGAAATTTCCTGAGCACTTCGCTCGTGTCGACCGCCTCCCAGACACTGTCGGCAAAATGTTTTGGCCGCATACTTCTTCGAGCTCGAAAGTACCTGGGACCAATCGGCATAAAAACTGAGGGGAGTTCGAAGGACACCTGACTGCCGAGACTTTTCACTCTGTGCATGTTGGACGTGTCCATTTTCTGTCGGTTGGTCACGCCTGACCGGTGCCGCCGTGTAGCGGCGCCACGCCTTCAGCTTTAAATTATTGATCGTGTTTTTTGCTAGTTGGGATCAGTCTCTGAGGGATCCTCCTCCCACTTCTGGTCGTCTTGACCACCGGGCACAGGCGGATGAGAGAAGAGCGAGCGTGGTAGATGCTGCGCGAGTCAACCGTTACTTTAAAGTAACTCACGCGCAAGTCACTGCTTCTGCCTTCAGCCTACTGAGGCACGCGGTGGACATCGCCTAGACCGACGGTCAAAGGGTTATTCGTGCGTCTGTGGGAGCCTACCTCACTGACTGATGCCGGCTTTTTTGCCAAGCCGCGCGGGTTCAGTGTCTACGCACGCCGGCAGTGCTCTCTCACGGTCCTGATGGTCGAACTCAACGCCAGGCCGAGTCAACCACCTTTCTACTATCTATTCTACTATTTGTTCTGTACAGAATATAACCTTCTCCTACTCTGGTTCTCCAAGACTTCTTTATCATCTCCTAAGGAACCGGGCCTGGAACATCGCAGTAGTTAGGCTTTAACCGGCTTAGCCTTAACAACCTTTTGCGATACGTTCGGCCCTCTTCCAGTCTGCTAAGTATAGCGGTTAGGACGATCGAGACATGGAAGCGAGTCAACGAGACAAACA